AATAGTCCTTGTTCTTGGGGGGAGTTCTTAACACCTTTATAAATGTGTATTTGCTGGTTTGGTTTTATTTGGGCTTCAAAGCTGGCTGGAAGTATGAAGTGATGGGTTTGGACATTTGGGATTTAGGGTGGCAAGCTAGATGAGGATGACGCCTTTGAGGAAACTGAAAGTTGGAGATGGAACTCAGGCCAGCAATATCAGAGGTTGTTCCCTAAACCTCTTCCTCATTCATTATTTTACTTGTCATTATTTAGCTTGGTGAGTACAGGAGTTGAAGACATTGGAAGAAAGAAGCACAGGATGAATAAAAAATGGTATCATTAAACATGTTTTGATATTAAACATGTTTGGAAAGAGGTTCACAGTGCCAGAAGTGGGAGACTTTGAGATAGTCTCAAGGGAAAGACTGCTCTGTCATGGCTGCAGCAAGTGAGTGACATGTGAGGAAGGCATTGCCAAACTTCCTTAATCCTTAGAGAAAGATCAAAGTACAACAAATCCCTATGCACTCCTGCACAGAAGAATCTGAGGCAGATGAGGCTCCTCCATCTCAGAGCTGGGCCATAGTATGTATATTCATGCATGGACTGGTCTAAGGACAAAGCGAACACTGTGGCAGGGTGATAGTAAAAGCCCATGTCACCTCACTAGAAATCTGGTATGCATTGGAAAGGATATCTTCACTCCAAGATTTTATTCCTGCATTCTAATACACTGTGATGCCTCATCTCCAGTAAATACTTCTCTGTTTTAAGAAAGCATGATAGTTGTAAATCAGCTCGGAAATTCGACAGCTATAAATGCCATGTGGTATCACTTAGATCACAAACCAGAGCCAATTTTTCAAAACATTTCCTGCTGGAATACCCACATTTTAACAGATGTCTTTTGGCAAGTTTTGAAGCAAAATAATCCCCAATCCACATATGAAATAAAGCCCAACAGAAAGTAAAGCATGGAGGAAAATGACTTTTTTTCTTTTTCTTTTGGCATTAAGAGATAGACTTGGGGAAATCTTGAGCTCTTTGGAGAAACACTGTTCACAGCCACAAAAGTCAAGGCATGAACTTTTTTCTCTCACATACACCACAAAAAAAGATCGGGTTTAGAAAATATCCTTTCAGTGTTCACTATAGAAATTTCCTTGGCTACTTTTGAGTATAATATTTGTTATTTCTTCTTCTGAGCAATGATCTTAAGTATAACTCTGGGTTTGGTTGAGGCAATCTTATGAGAAGAGAGGGGAAAATGACTTGAAAATGCAGTGGGGCCCACAGAGACAGAAGGGAGGGAATCGACAAAGAAGAATCTATTGTTAGGAACAAGATGGACATGATTGATTCTGCCTTATTCAACAATGTAGTAATTTAGTCTGAGGCCTCTCAAAATCAATGGTAGAGGAGCCAAAATGAAAGCCTAAGAAAGGAGAAGGAAATAGATTTTTCATTTTTCTTCAGCATGTTTTATGAAAATATCAATAATATAGACAACTTAAAAAGAAAAGAATTATACAACAAGCACATTGTACATGAGAGATAAACTGTTTTTATTTTGAGTCTGACAGTTTGTTTGCAGTGGAACTGGTTCTCACCTTTATCTAAGAAATGCTCTTGAATGAATGAAATGGTGGTCTCCTAACACTCTTCCCACACAGTTATTCTAAAGAAACAAGTGCTGCTCACTGCCACTTCTGCAGGATGTGATATTTCCAAAAGCAGAGATCCCTATGGGTATTCTTCCATTACCTGTTGTTTTGCATGCATCTTGCTGGTGTTGTCTTATTTTCCCTTATGCTGAATCAATTTTAACTTTGTACTAAGAGCTGTACTGAAAAATGATGTGTAGGTGGGAATAATTTGATATCATTTCTTTAAGAGGAATTTTTCTTTATATTGGGCACACTGAGGTGATAATAAAACAAATATTTATAAAACACAATTAAATCGGTTGTAATGCAGTTATGAATAAATAATGGATAGCATTTCTTTAAACGAGCAATGGGGTACATTTGCATAAAGCCATTAAAGAATAATTTAGTTTAAACAAATTTTGTCAATGCCCAGCTTTTCCTCATATTATTCATCAGTACCTATTAAGGAGTGCCATGCTGGTCCAAGTAGAGATGCCCTGAGGTAGCACTGGCTTACATTCTGATTTCTTAGATAATTTAGAGAAAAATTCTATGGAGTGATTTTGATGTTCATCATTTAAAAAGTAATCCAAAGCAATCAGCACCATTTTGCTTACTTTGATTAACCCCCAGGCAAGAGGACAGTTTCAAACACAAGACCTATATACTTCATAATGCATGGCAGATATAAAACCATAGCCACTTAATAGTACATGCACAGATACTATACATCTACAGGTGGAGGACCAAAGGAGACCATCTCTCCATTCTGAAACTCAAGGCTTCAGCATTTGCATGCTGTAGGGTGGGGCTGCTACTAAATGATAGGGAGTTGATTAGCAGAGGATGAATCTGCTGGGGAGTATAATCCAAGGAGATCTTGATTTTATTATAGTGGCCTAAATGAATGGTCTGCACTGCCTGGATTCAGTCAAGGCCATCCTTAGTCATTGCAGGGTTTTGCCTCACATTTGTTTGATATATAGGTGGGCTCTGAAAACAGATGAAAAATAAAATCTACCCCTCATCTCTCATTCCTGAAAAAATACACAGCAGAAGAGCTGACTTGAGAGATTTATGATGAACTATGAAAGTTCATTTGTCAATATTAATTTCATTCATGTTTTCTGAACTATAGTCTTTTATTGCATAGTTTTTTTTTAAAAATGTCTTTTATGAGATACAAAGCCTTGAATTTATTTGAAGCAATTTTCTTTCTCATATCAACTCGACACATTGAGACTCCTTTTTACTTGCTCTATTTTGTATATTCCAGTCTCTTCTATGAAACTTTCACATCTATGGCTGACTCTCAATATAGAACCAGAGTGAAGTCTGAACTCAGGTGATACCTAATACATTTCTTTAAGTGGAGGGGCCTTAGGCTCCTTTAAACTCATTGGTGTTAAGATCTAGTTGAAACACACTAGGCATGAGGAAATATTTGCTTTACATAAAAAATAATGAACAACCTTATAAGTGAAAACTTAGAAACTTAATTAGAATTAGATCTTCAATGACTCTCATAACATAGATAGGTTTAAAAATAATGAGGTTCAGTATCCACCCATACCAATTCACTTGTGGAACCAGGACTTTCTGGGGGTTTCCTGGTATCTGCTCCTTACTGAGATCTTGGACAGGTCTCTGACTTTATTCAGTTTTCTCATAATTGTTAAAATACACAGATCTCTGGTATCATTTGCGTGAGCAAGGATTTTGGTGCGTTCATATGAGGAGGAAGAACTGGTATATTGAAAAACTAAAAAGATGAAGTTAAATGCAGGAATTCACAATCTACTTGGTGAATATGATGTGTTTGTGTGTGTTTTCAAGGATGATTTGTATTATATTAAAGCCTTACTATAAGGTAAGTAATATAATATATGCATAACTGAATCCAAAACTGGCATAGACATAGACTCATAGGCATGTCCAACCTTTAACATTGCAACAGCATTGCTATCTACAAAGCCCTTACACAGATATACAAATCAAGTTACTGAAAAAAAAATACAGTAAAAAAAAATCGCAATGTTTTTGGTAAGTTTAAATTTTTCTATTGGGCTACATTCATACCTATCTTTGGTTGTATGCAGCCTGTGTGTATTCTCACCTGGTCGAAGTTAAAGAGTTTCAGCCAGACATGGTAGTGCATGCCTATAATCCCAGTATCTGAAAGTCTGTGGGTTAGAGATCAACATGGACTGTATAGTGAATCTCTCTCTCTCTCAAAACAAGAAGAATTTCTTTTAGTAGATCTTGAAGAAAGACTATTGATTACCAAATTATTTTCCAAGCAAAATTGGGAATATAATTTGTTCTATCCAATACCAAATACAATACAGGGTCTCTTTCTCAATTTAAGTATTGTAAGATGTTGCAGCTCAGGATTAACCCATATGTGGTGGGTGTGTGAAGGAGAAACACTCATGAAACCAACGGTCTTTAAATATGCTTGATATTTGAGCAAATGTGAGCAGTCTACAGGAAGTGATACAGATTGGACATTCTCTCAGGCAATTCATGGGAAAATAAAGTCATTCTTGGGAAGGAAGATAATTTAGTCTTTCCCAAATTAGCAAACTTGGATTGAAAAAATGGGGAAGTGCTTGCCTTGCAAACACTAGGACCTAAATTTGAAAGCCTGGTGTGATGGTACACACTGATAGTCCCAGGGTTGGAGAGGCAGAAAGAGGCGGCATCCTGGAACTCACTGGCCAGATGTCCTAGACTATTTGGCAAGCTCTAGGCCAGGTAAAGACCCCCCACACACACACACACAAAGAACAAACAAACAAACACACAGGATGGATAACTCATGAGGTATGGTGCCACCTGAGGTTAGCTTCTGATTTGCACATGCACATACATGCATACATAACAACATGCACACATTCAAGCATACATATAAGCATACGCATATGGATACACACAAAAGATGGGAAAGTTATGATTTTTCAAGGACATTTCCACAGTTACAGGGTAAAGGTAAAAATAACCACAGTTGTAAATGTAGCAGACCCTTGCATATTGAGCATGTTAAGTGCCAAGATTCTTCTAAACATCCTACACGTATTTATTGACTTGATCCTCAGAATAGCCCTGGAGGGTAGATGCTGTTATTCACCTATCTTACCACAGATGTTAAAGACTTGTGCCTAACATGTAGGGAAAAGAGCCAAGTGGAAAGGATTTGAAGAATGATAGGTCCAGAGTCTGTCTGTTCTCGTAGCCAAAATAGAATCATTCAGAAGGAAATAAGTTTTCCCAGAATGATATTTGTTAGTATCATAGATTTGGCCTGACTAGGGCATACTGTTGTGTACGCTTTTTAATTTTTTTTTCTTTTTGCATTCCATTTTCATAGTTTAACAGCACCCGTTCGCCCTCCCCCACTGAATGTTGCCACATGGCCCCATGGAGTAGAAAGGTATTGGTTCTGAGAACATTTCTTTGCAGTCTTATCCTGCTCTTTTCAGACACTCTCCCTTTCTTCTCTCTTTTAACTTTATTGCAAACCCGTTTTAAACTAACAGTTTTTTTTTTCTCTTAAGTCAGTTTAAAGAATGGTGTTTTCCTAACTTGAATTAAAGACAACCCTGTCTCTGGTTTCATACGCCTTTAAAGTCCCCCATTGGAGTTGCAATTTGTAGCTCTGCCAAACATAGGCATTCTCTCTCACTGCTCCTGGATTTTGTAGTTTGGGAGAAAGAAATGACAGTTTTGCCTGTATTTATTAGAACTGTAAAAGTTCAGCTTCACAAATTTATAAAAGAAAGAAAGAAAGAAAAAGAACAAGAAAACAGGATCCTTTGGCGGCCAAGTGTCCCTGTCACCATTAAATAAAAAAGTTCTTTTGGCTGCTGGTCAGAGCCTGGAGTCAGGTCACTATCCTTTAGTCCTTTCAAGTCCATTGTTATTCAAGGAAGGGATTGGACGCGAAAGAAGGCCTCTGGTGGTGCGGGCTTTCTCTATGGTCAGCTTTTCTGTGTTCTTTCGCTCTCTCTCTCCCTCCCTCCTCTCTTCTTTTTCTCTTCTCTTCCTCCTTTCCTCTCTCCCACCCTTCCTCCAGGCCTCTTTCCCTCTCCCCCTCTCTGTCTCTCCCTCTCTGCATGCACCAAACTGTTTTTTTTTCCCCCTTTTTGAAAGTTACCTAGGAAACAAAGTCTTTTGTGCTCCAACTTTATTTGAGCTATTCGCTTTGCTGGGAATCTGCACAAAAGCTGAAGAGAAAAAGAAGGTTGCAATATTTTACTAAACCGTTCATGGTGAACACAATTTTCCCAAGGGGGGAAATCACATACCGTTGGGTGTGTTGGGGGGCTTTGCAGAAACCTCTGATAAGGTAAGTAAATACTGCGGTTTCCTTTAAACAAAGGATTCTGGAGGCTACTCTTTAAGGAGACTTGAGGACAGTTCATTTGACAATATGTACAATCCCGAGCCAATAGTATAGTTTCCAATGTGAGGACTAGGGAGGTTTTGATTTTTTTTTCTTAATGATCCAGATTTTAGGACAGAGGATTATTAAAACCTTATTGAAATAAGAGGAAATAAAATATTTATTTCCTACAGTTATCTATCTTCCTTTGAGCTGTATAAAGAAAGAAAACTGGGTTCAGTGGTAGAAATTGGGTCTTTTGCCACTCTGGTTTAGAAACCCAACCCTGAAACCAAAACCTTATAAATAATAAGGGGGTCTTATAAATAATCTGGGCCTGGAGCCCAAGCTTGAAATAAAAGTTAGATAACATTAATATTTATTAAAGTCTTGGAGAGACAATTTTTAAAAGTCATACAGAAATGAAAGCCTCGAACTTACACAGCTGGAAGTATAGTTTTACACTGCAAAGCTCAAAGAAAATAAACTAGAACTCTTCTACCCATCCAAATCCAAAAGAAAAACCCACTTGATTCTTTCCCTCCAGAAACAGAATTTGTATATTCCACTGCAGTCGGGCTCTGGGACACCTCTTTACTTTGGCTTTTCCACAGCCATCTAATGTCAGTGAAACTGACTTGTAAAGTGTCATTCACTAAAGCTTTCCTCCTGTATTGAAATTAACTCATGGTAGCTTTGATGGCCTCGTGGATTAGGCTGACGTACCCTCCAGGTGCTGTGTTCTAGACTGTCTAATGTCTTGGAGTTTCCTGCATGGCTTCTGAGTAGTTCTATAGGCAGTTAGCTCATCTGCCTCCTTTGATCATCATGGTCTAGTGCTCCCAAGATTTCTGACAGAAATTTATAATGACATAAAGATGCAGAAAGTAGACCCACCTTTTACTGGATTAGAGACAGAAGTTTTCTGCAGTTTGAAGGTACAGGATTTCTGACTAATTTATCTCTTAATTCCATTTTACCCTGAAAAGCATGTTTCGTAAGCCCATTTTTTTCTTTCTGTATCTTTTTACTGTTGAAGCAAAACTTTTAATTAGTTGTACTTACTGTTTTCTCTATCCTACCTACTTATTTCTATCCTTACTTTAAAATTTTGAACTATAAAATCACTTACGTGTGTAAGCTCTGGGAACTGAATCTGAATGTATTCTGTTTGCAGTCCCACTCTCCAGAGGATGAAGACACAGATGTCATGTTAGGGCAGAGGCCGAAAAATCCGATACACAATGTCCCCTCTACACTGGATAAGCAGACCAACTGGAGCAAAGCACTACCTCTCCCGACTCCCGAGGAGAAGATGAAACAAGATGCCCAAGTGATCTCTTCTTGCATTATTCCCATCAATGTCACTGGTATAATTTCCTTTTTTTTTCTTGAGGGGCAGCTGGGTCTGAATAGTGTATGTATTAAATGTGTTCAAAACCTGTCCTATAAGCCCCACCCCTGTCAGCTAAAAACACTATTTCTTGTGAGCAAGAAATCTTTTTTTTATTTTTTTCTTTTTCAATTATTATTATTATGTTTTTACACTTTATTCACTTTGTATCCCCCCATAAGCCCCTCCCTTCTCCCTTCTCGGTCCCACCCTCCCTCCCCCTTCTTCATGCATGCCCCTCCCCAAGTCCACTGATAGGGGAGGTCCTCCTCTCCTTCCTTCTGATCTTAGTCTATCAGTTCTCATCAGGAGTGGCTGCATTGTCATCTTCTGTGGCCTGGTAAGGCTGCTCCCCCCTCAGGGGGAGGTGATCAAAGAGCAGGCCAATCAGATTATGTCAGAGGCAGTCCCTCTTCCCATTGCTATGTAACCCACTTGGACACTGAACTGCCATGGAATCTTATGTAAGAAGTGGGAAATAGTAGGTTATGGAGAGGACAGGAACCCCACAAGGAGAGCAACAGAACCAGAAGATTTGAACACAGAGGTCTTCCCAGAGACCCATACTCCCACCAAGTACCAGGCATGGAGATAACCTAGAACCCCTGCACAGATGAGCAAGAAATCTTTAGTCAACATACTCGGAGATATTCAGGCTTTGAACACCAATTTGCATAAAATCTGTTGGGCTGCTTGTTATGTAAATGATGAACAGATTCTTTTTGAAAAAAAAAAAATCACCAAATAGCTCTTTGGCGGTGATTAATCACATGACAATGATATGTGGCACCACAAGAAAGAAAACAGCAAAACCCAAGTGTCTGAAACTGCAAGTAAGGTCTTATTGACCAACTAGAAAATCTGTTTTTGTGCTTCCATGGATGAAGGTAGGCTTTTCTAAAAAAATAAATAAATAAATAAACATTTAGATTTATGTATTGATTTTAGGTGTTTTTTTTTGTTTGTTTTGTTTTGTTTACCTGAAAATATATACATACAGAGATGAAGAGAGAATTGTATTTTAAAATCATCAAGTCTGGCTTCCTTTCACTTTCTGCTGTTACATGTATTGAAAGTCTACGTATTAGTCTAGATAGGCTGAAAGCCTAGCTGGACTTCTCTTTCAAGTCTGTCATCAGAGGTAGTGAATTCTGGAGCTGGGGATCAGATGATGTTTTACATTTTAAAGGAATCTATAGGTTTGCGTACAAAGTGATAGGTTTAATAATGTAAGGTGTGTATAAATGAAAGAAAGAGAAGACAGAGAGGGGCATAGGGAAAGTGAAAGAGAGAGTTACACTTTATTCTCAATCATTTCCCCCAAATTCTTCCCTTTGGTATTTTTAAAACACCTCTTCTAGTTTCATTTTACCTTATTTTTATTATGTATATGATGAAAATTAAAAAGAAAAAAAAAAACAGCCACACTATGACAGACTTTCATCTTGATTCCCTGTAACCAAAGATTGCATGTCCCCTGAAAAGCATTTTGGACATTGTTATTATCAACTCCACTCAGATTTCTCTTACTTAGAGTGGGGGAACAAATGGACCAGGTGTCTGAGACAGGTATGATTTCCCTCCTGAATAAGAGGTACTCTAATGCATTGGTCAGTTGTGTTGTGAGCTAGGACTTAATTTTCCTCCAGACCTATTCAACTTATAGGATAAATTATTCTGAAGAAGTGCACTTATCTGACCCCTATAATCTAAATGAGATGTATTAGAGGAGTTCATCTGCCAGAATGGATCATTCTGGCACCCTTTTAAACTAATTTCCCATCTGAGAACATCTGACTATTAGCAACTGCTGCTGCTTTTCTGGTGCTGTAAGTAAAAATCTTGTTTTCGAATGTAGTACTGTGATTACGGGCCATCATCTTGTGATTAGGAAGAAGAGAAGATTTTTCTTTCAGTTTTATTTAAGGAACTCTGAAGATGAAGGCCCAGATTAGATGTTGATTTCAAGAGCTTTAATGAGAACATTGTTAATGGTGTCCATATAATACACAGTGTCTGTATATCATGTATTCAATTATTATTAAGATTCAAATGAAGTATTTTAGTGTTTGATTGGAACCAAGAAAGGAAAATCTCATTTATATGAATTCTCCAATAACACTGTAATCTTTCATCATGTAATACAGATATTTCAAAGTGAGCCTAAGTGAGGACTTTTTGCACAGCGACGTTATACAGCTGACCCAAGGTTTAACATGTCATCCACCCCTATGGCCAACAGTTTAGAAAAAATGATGAGGTGATCAAATACCAAAGTGCAGCATTCCAGCATTCTGAGCCACAGCTTGCACCGAAACATCTACTGTGCACGCTCGTGCCAGAGTTTGAATTCCTTACCTTCCGCCTCACCGTTCTAATCTAATAGAACCACATATAGTGCCACTAATGTGAATACAGAGAAGAAACAATAAGCACCATAGTTGCTCCCTACATGCATACTAATAAACAATGCTTTAAAGAGTAGGGAGTCTATCTTATAGCTGATTGGTACAGAAATAGCTCCACTGAAGCACAGGACAGAGAACTCCTCTGCATGTTTATTTCCAAAAAAGCATACAATTTACTCCTAAGAAGAAAGTAGAATTGCATGATTATTGAAGAGAATAAAACCCTAAACTGTTGTGTTTACTCTCAGCAGTGTGTGTGTGTGTGTGTGTGTGTGTGTGTGTGTGTGTTTGTGTGTGTATGTCTAAATACTTGGAGCGGAAATTTGGGCATGGGAGGTTGAGAGAGGAAAACTCACAAAGACTCTTTTAATGAAGAAATGGGTCATGATACACGAGGTTCATATCTTAGGTACTGATCTACTATGCAAAGGTATCAGTTTCAGAGAGCCACGAAATAGACCAGGAAGTAATAGTGACTAAAGGTTATAGCCAGTTCAGTGTGAGAGGACTTTGCTGATGTCCCCTACGCTTCCATTTCTTTTGGTTTTCCTCTTTTACTTGTTGCTTTTGGTACTGCAAGCTACTGTGGAAGGCTGCATTTAGAAGTAAAGCTTGATGTACTGCAACATTTAAATAAGAGCTAAAAAAAGAGCTCCCTTATATTTGTTCACAAGCTTATTTCAAAGTCCAATCAGGAAAGACCACTGTGTTCCAAACAACTGAAAATTTGTCTGCCATTTCTCAAAGCTAATGAGACCTATTTCTGGGTTGCAGGAGTTGGTTTTGACAGAGAAGCAAGTATCCGCTGTTCTCTTGTTCATTCACAATCTGTACTACAGCGGAGACGAAAATTGAGGAGACGGAAAACAATCTCGGGGATTCCCAGAAGAGTTCAACAAGAAATAGGTGTGGTATAAAAATGTTCATAGTTTCTGTCTAGTGAAGGTTACAAGGAGATGAAATAGGTGCCTATTTTCAACTGCCTTCAACTATAACATTCCTTATAAATATTGAGTGTTTCAATCTTTAATAGTTTTAAAATGCTGCATATTTATTTTGTATTCAGAAAACCATGTGGAATTATTTTTTTAAGTCTGTTCTTGAACATAAAGACTTAACGTTATAGATTGAGGCATATACATTCAAGCCTTGCAGATGAAGTATAATATTTTGTCAATTTAAAAGTTTCATTAAGATCAGAAGTATGGATTCAATGCAAGAAGCTTTTTTTGAAAACTGTAATTTCATTTGAAGAGAAATTGTATATTTAAGAGTTTATTTTTAAAGTAAAATTTAAACATATTCAAATCTGGTGTCTTAAAAATATAATATTTTTAGGGACATTTAAAGCTTTTTCTGTTCAGTGTCTTTTAAATACTTATACCAATTTCAAACTATTATGGTAGCGGCACATATAAACAAGCCTTTAATTTTTATCATAAAATCTATGAATTGCATTCCATTATGTTTGTATTACAAAACATAAACAAAAAGTAGTGGTCAGGACTTTAGGTTTTATACTCCAGTTGTTTTTTTTTTTCTTTTTTTTAATTTTTAGATCATTTTTCTTTTATGAAAGCAGTTACTTCTTAGGACAAATTAATGTTAAGAGAGATGATTCATAAAAACAAAAAGCATATCTTCTCTCAATAAGTATATATGATACGTGTGTGTGCATGTGTATATGCACATATACATAAAACAAAATACATAAATACAGAAAGAAACAGAAACAAGTTCAGGGAAACAAAGCATCTTCACTTTCTCATAATTTTATATAATGATTTTTTTTTTCTGAAAGAGAAAGTTCTAATGTGGTAGCACACAGGTTTATAAACACCACCCAAGATGCCAGTTAGTTTGTCAATATGTACTATCTTACTGTCTTTTTCATGTACCCTAGATTCTGATGAATCTCCAGTGGCCAGGGAAAGGAATGTGATTGTGCACACAAACCCAGACCCCTCCAACACTGTCAATAGGAGGTCCGGAACCAGGGACTCTGAATGCCAAACTGAGGATATTCTGATTGCTGCCCCATCCAGAAGAAGAATCAGAGCTCAAAGGGGTCAAAGCATTGCGGCATCCCTTTCTCATTCTGCTGGCAACATCTCCGCGCTGTCAGACAAAGGTGATACCTTGTTTACTCCTGTAGTGAGCAGCCGCACAAGATCTCGGAGCCTTCCTCGGGAGGGAAATAGAGGTGGAGATGCTGAACCCAAAGTTGGTGCTAAACCCTCAGCATATGAAGAAGGAGAGCCTTTCGTGGGTGACCATGAAAGAACCCCTAATGATTGTAGTGAAGCTCCAAGCAGCCCAAGCGCACAGGAACACCAGCCTGCTTTGGGCCTGGCCTGTTCTCAACACCTTCACAGCCCCCAGCACAAGTTAAGTGAGAGAGGGAGGTCACGTCTGTCCCGAATGGCTGCTGACTCTGGAAGCTGTGACATCTCCTCCAACTCAGACACCTTTGGAAGCCCCATCCATTGCATTTCCACAGCTAGTGTCCTCCTGAGCAGCCACATGGACCAGAAAGATGACCACCAGTCATCCAGTGGGAATTGGAGTGGGAGCAGCTCCACATGCCCTTCACAGACCTCAGAGACAATCCCTCCTGCAGCTTCTCCTCCCCTCACTGGCTCGTCTCACTGTGACTCGGAGTTGTCACTGAACACTGCTCATAATGCTAATGAAGACACCAGCGTCTTTGTGACAGAACAGTACAATGACCACTTGGATAAAGTAAGAGGCCACCGGACGAACTCCTTTACCTCCACTGTTGCAGACCTGCTGGATGACCCCAATAACAGCAATACAAGTGACAGTGAGTGGAATTATCTGCACCACCATCATGATGCATCCTGCCGCCAAGATTTTAGTCCTGAGCGTCCAAAGGCAGATAGCCTGGGCTGCCCAAGCTTCACAAGCATGGGCACCTATGACAGCTTTCTGGAGAAGTCTCCTTCAGACAAAGCAGATACTAGCTCCCATTTCTCAGTGGACACAGAAGGATACTATACCTCGATGCACTTTGATTGTGGTCTCAAGGGTAATAAGAACTATGTCTGTCACTATGCAGGCCTGGGCCCAGAGAATGGTCAAAGTGTAGGGGTTCCTCCTGGTCTTCCGGACTGTGCCTGGCAAGAATACTTAGACCACAGGAGGCAAGGGAGACCAAGCATCTCTTTCAGGAAACCAAAGGCAAAGCCAACTCCACCTAAACGGAGCTCATCACTGAGAAAATCTGATGGAAATGCAGAAATTTCTGAGAAGAAAGAACCAAAGATAAGCAGTGGTCAGCATCTGCCCCACAGTTCCAGGGAAATGAAGCTGCCTCTTGATTTCTCCAACATGCCTTCTCGAGTGGAAAATGCCAATCTGCCTGCAAAGCAGGACTCTTCTTGGATAAACCAGAATGAACATTCTGTTAAAGAACCTCAGATGGATGACACTACAGACATTTCACCATTCAAAGATGAAGGTGCTGAATCAACTCACTATGCAGACCTCTGGCTTCTAAATGACTTGAAAACAAATGATCCTTACAGATCCTTATCCAATTCAAGCACTGCTACGGGTACCACAGTGATTGAATGCATCAAATCTCCAGAGAGTTCTGAATCCCAAACATCCCAGTCAGAATCAAGGGCAACCACTCCATCTCTTCCTTTGGTTGATAATGAATTTAAACTGGCTTCACCAGAAAAGCTGGCTGGCTTAGCATCTCCATCAAGTGGCTACTCAAGCCAGTCAGAAACACCAACCTCCTCTTTCCCTACAGCTTTCTTTTCAGGTCCGTTATCTCCTGGGGGTAGCAAAAGAAAACCTAAAGTCCCAGAAAGGAAATCCTCACTACAGCAACCATCTTTAAAAGATGGAGCCCTATCATTGAGTAAAGATTTTGAACTTCCAATTATACCTCCTACTCATCTTGACCTAAGTGCTCTTCATAATGTTTTGAATAAACCATTCCACCACCGTCACCCACTGCATGTTCTTACTCATAAGCAAAACACAGTAGGAGATATGCTGAGGTCGAATCCTCCACCGTCTCTTGCAATTACACCAACAGTCCTGAAATCTGTCAACCTGAGGTCTATCAGTAAGTCTGAAGAAGTTAAGCAAAAGGAGGGCAATAATACAGATCTCCCCTACCCAGAAGAGAGTGCAGTTCCTGTGGCTTCAGTGGCTTCCTTATCTCCAGGCAAGATAAGGCCACACACAGCAAAGAAATCAATATCACGCCAGTACTCTGCTGAAGACACCCTCCTGCCCTTTTTAGATTCCTCTGCAGTTGAGATGGGACCAGAGAAACATTTGGAGAAGAACCTTACTTCTGGTGGGAAGAGTCACTGTGATCCAGAAACTGTAACCTCAGCTAATAGCAATCTTCCTGAATCAAATGTGATGAAAGACCAAATTCAGACAGGAAGTGAGCTAAGCTCAGAAAACATACCAAGTAAGAACTGTGGATTTTCAACAGGATTTCAGAGGGTCTCAGCTGCCCACCCCAATGATTTGGGTAGTAAAATGATACAGTATGGAGCTAGTCCGGATGGAGCCCTCCAACAAGGACAAAAGATGCCCTCTGAAGTTGGGGAAGAAGGCGCAAAACCGAAATTTGTGGATGGAATCACACTTCAAGCCAACTCGCCGAGTAGAGCAACAGACATAAATGGTCAACATAAGCATCAGCGTGTCGTGAGCCGCCACCATGACAAAGTGCCTGTGACTATCCACCAGGAGTCAGGGACGTCAACTGTAAATTCATTCCCCGAAAAATGTTCTGAGCAGGAAAACATTGCTTCAGGTATTTCACCCCAAAGTGCCTCTGATAACAGCAGAGCAGAGGAGACCCAAGGATGGATGGATGAGACTTCATTGAAAGGTCAGTTAATGATACTTTTGTTAGCATGGAAATGTGCCCTTTGTTGTTTCCTGCATTCCCATAGTTCTCTATAGCCCTGGGTATTGGTTTCCTTCTGCCATTTCTTTTTCACTTATTAAAACAATTGAGAAAAAAAAATGTTATTTGGAACCAATATTTGACCTTTGTCTCTCTTGTTTCAAAAATTGTGGTAAGGTACCTTGAGTTTGTTTGATCCCTGAGTCAGGGAAATGGGATAGTGAGATGTGTAGCTACAAGATGCTTGTCTTCTTGTTTTTAGAATCATCACCAAGTGATGACTCCATCACTTCACCACTCAGTGAAGACTCTCAAGCTGAAGCTGAGGGTGTGTTTGTGTCTCCAAACAAACCTCGAACAACTGAGGATCTATTTGCTGTCATTCACAGGTGAGAGAGTATGACCAAGTCCTCAGAAGCAAAAGGCACAGAATTGTATTTGAAGTGTCTCTTATTGAATGCAAATTTGGGGAAGCATTTTGTACCTGTAATACACTCAACAAAACAAAAACAACCAAGCAAGAATTATCTTTCCAAATAAAATTCATGTACTTGTATGCATGTTTGAAAAAAATGAGTATAGAGAGTAGCTGCAGATGGACAGACAGTTCAATTGAGAGTTTATTAAGAATCATTGAAGGGAAAATATTGGATGATTTCCCAAGGAAGGCATTCTGGAACACGTTTACAGGAGAAAACAATTTATAATTTATAGTTAAAGTACTTAAGTGTAATTTCTGATGTACATACTGTATTTTGCATTTATCTTTGCAGTACTAGAGAGCAAACCCAGGACCTCATACATGCTATGTAAGCACTCTACCACTGACTCATACCCTTAACCCCTGACTTTTAAGTAATCCCTTGAGTTTACAAAATAGTCTCAAAGCTATAATCTCACACTAGCTGACACAAACATACATTGATTTGTCAAAACAACCTGAGCCCATCTCAGCTTGGAACAACTAAGAAGTAGACGGTTTTTATTCTTTCTTTTTAGCTATTTTTTTTGTCACGGTGCTGACTTGTATCTCTAAAATGAAAGGTCATATCTGATGAGCAGGGGATGTTCCCACTACATGGTTGTGTCTTTGCCTCCCATGCACATTTTCTCTTTCATACCTTGATAACCTGTTATCAATAGCCCACATATGCCACAGTTCATTATAGCTGAAGACCAGAAAAGCACAGCCAAAACTCATCCTTGAAAGCAAACGCATACCTGCTGAGCTAAAGGATGCTTGCTATGGGTGCTCCCCTGCCCCCATGAGGTTAACTTTCTTCTTATGCCTGACCTTGGGGACCGAGATGGAACTCCCAAAGGAAAGAACCTGAGGATTATCTCCTTTTTCACAGACTTAGCAATTTGGAAGGAAGTTCTTTGCAAGCAGTTTATAATCTCTCCTCAGACCCTTTGGACTTCTGCTTTTTAAAGGATTTCTATTGGTGCTATTTTTCTTTCTTTCTTTCTTACTTTCTTTCTTTCTTTCTTTCTTTCTTTCTTTCTTTCTTTCTTCCTTCCTTCCTTCCTTCCTTCCTTTCTTTCTTTTTTTAAGAAGGAACACTGTTCTTTAGCAGTTGCGTTTTCCTAAGGGTTCCATTAGTAGTATCCTCTGTGTTTACCTTAGCAGGCAAGCTTCCTCATAATCAGGGTAAGAGTTTCTAGTTTGTGTTCTTTACCACAGTTGTCTAAACTCCAATTATATTCCTCTAAACCCTCACACTTTATCTCTAAACTGAACACAAATTATTAATTTGCTATATAAGTTAATGAACCCTCAAAGAACCCTCTGGCGTATCTGGCATAGTGGGCAGGACATAAGTTGTAAAATCAAAAAAAGATAATTGGATTGGAATCCTGACAATGCCATTTCCTATGCTGTCAAGAATAAGTCAAGTATCTGAACTTCTCCTCTTACTATAAGAATGCTTATACTGAAGAGATTTGATTCTGGTGACAAAAGAGTATTTTGTGTCTAAACTACTGTAGATGCTAAGAATACCTGCTATTTGAAAACTCTAGGTGGTACCAAGCTCTGATGTGCAAAGATACCAACCAGAGAGGTTTGTTTCTCTGTGCAAAATCAGGCTCTTCTGGAATCTGGAAAGACAAAGCTCATGCTTTCTTTACCACACAAGTTTTTAAATTGATGAGAGAGCATGCCACTATCATCAGGAATGACTGAGTTATGCTATGGATTTATTGAGCTTATGCCTACTTAATTTTCAAAATAAGATCACAATTTCATTATGGATATAGAGGTTATGTAGATTGAAGGAGTTGGATAATTTTAGATTTGTATTTGTGTAGGATTTGCCTATTTATTTACATCCCAGTGGCAAGAGTTATTTTGCTGTCTTGAGAGCTTAGATTTTATATTTTAAGAGCCCCAGAGATGGTTTAAGTTTTCAGTTCCTCACAAAGTGTTGACATGCCGTTGGTGTCCCTGAGTAGCTAAAGGGTCATGGTACTTGTATTAAAAAACAGAATAATTTATTTTGGAATCCACTCAGCTGACTTTCATGAGCAGTAAATTAAAATGTAGGTTAAGTCTGGAGTGTATCTCCCAAAGTTCATCACCAAGGTCCATCAAGTATCAGGTTAAGGTCAGTTTTGTCCTACCAATGCCATTATCCACTTGCTGCACTTAGTAGTATTTGGAAGCGGGATCTTAATATGAGAGTATTTCTTCTGTATTGGATAGACACTTTTAATGAGAAAAAGAAATAGTGTTTTACCACACTGTAAACAGAAATTAGCAGGGTTTTTTTTTTTCCCCTTAAAGTCTAGGAGGGCAAGTAATGAATCTTAACCTTCCTTAATATGGTCCTAATACATAATAGTATATTATATAGGATGGTTTTTAAACATGATTAGATATGGGAAAGAGACAGAACACTTCTTGGTTCATAAAATTGTATGTTGACTCAGAATTTTACCCCATTTTCTCTTTTCTTAAAAGATCCAAGAGGAAAGTACTTGGACGAAAAGATTCTGGAGACATGTCTGTTAGAAGCAAATCAAGAATTCCCCTCGGCAGCAGCAGCAGCAGTGCCAATTCTGTCACTTCCCCCAGCAGCAGCAATGTGACAGCTGGGACTAGCCAGAGGTCTCCTGGTCTCATCTACCGAAATGCCAAAAAGTCCAACACATCCAACGAAGAGTTTAAGCTACTGCTCCTCAAGAAAGGCAGTCGCTCAGATTCTAGTTACCGCATGTCTGCCACTGAAATCCTGAAGAGCCCCATCCTGCCCAAACCTCCTGGTGAGTTCACTTCAGAACCCGCACAAAGCCCTGATGATAACCACCAGGGCACACCTGGGGCTGAAGCATTGTCCCCTCTGTCACCTTGCTCTCCACGAGTCAATGTAGAAGGGTTTTCCTCCAAAAGCTTTGCCACGTCAGCCTCAGCACGGGTTGGACGCTCCCGGGTCCCTCCTGTGGCCAGCAGCAGCCGCTACAGTGTCCGCTGCCGGCTGTACAATACCCCAATGCAGGCCATCTCTGAGGGAGAGACTGAAAACTCTGATGGGAGCCCACATGATGACCGATCCTCCCAGAGCTCCACATAGTCTTCCTGAGATGAGTTGACCTCAGATGTCCAACCCCTTACTAGATGAAAGGATTTTGTGACACCGTGGAGGAACCGGGAGAAATGGCAACAGGGTGGGGGTCGCATTGATGCTTGGCATATGTGCTGATGAAACAGAAAGCGGTTGTCATTTTTTTTTATTAGTTTTCATGTTTTCCGTAGCCGTTCTGTCTCTCGTGGTTTTCTTTAGCATAGGTTGATTTATCCGATCTCATTCCTTGTGATAATAGAGAATACAAAAGTATCTAAGTTTCTTGAAACCTAGACAAGGTTTTCCCAGAGCTGCCTATTCCGAAAATAAAGCCCTCACTGTCATGATACTATAAGATGAAATTACTCTGGAGGTTTGGTATTTTTTTAAATTAAGATGAACTAAAGCAAAATTTAGAAGAAAGAACTACACATATGTAAATACCATATTTTTGATAAAAAGGTGTAAATAGATTTATCAATGATGAGTGGACAAGCCAATCATCTACCATACACCAACTATTTATAGGACACATAAAATAAAGTATAATAACTGTATTCTGTGAATACCATTTTCATATCAAATACCATATTTAAATGTCCACCAATATGATTTCTGAGTGATAAACCTCAAATATGATTTTAAAATTGGTGAAATAATGGAAATATTGAGATCATGTACTGAAATGTGATTAATTTAAAATAATGAATTCAGACCTAATCATTGTTGTGACAAATTATAGCAGAAACAAGCTAATTTGTGGCTGTGATTTGCCATGTGGCAATTTGAACAGAATGAAAAGCATGCTTTTGATTTTTTTTAAAACAATGAAAGAAATCATCATTCTCAGTGCAAAGTTTTCTTCCCCCAATAGCATTAAGCAGTGCCCTTTAGAATTTAATTTTTCAATTGATTGCTTTAAGAGAATGAGTAAAAAAAACCCAGTAGTTAATTTTAGGTCACGTTTTATATAAGGCTACTGGGGACAAACAAACAGTCATAATCTAATGACTATACTCTTTAAGCTTCTTAATTAGCTCCAGGTTCTTAAACTAACAGAAATAAAACTTAAGCATGCCACAGAGCTATTGACTTCTCAGCAAGTACCTGTGATGGGTTGTCAGTGAAGCTTTCTATCTGTGCTGATGAGATTCATGCTACCTAAAACTTAACAGAAACGACACTGTGAACAATGTAGTTGGGAAATAGGTATGTGTATATGCATTATTTATATTCATTCTTCAACTGGGCATGGGGAGCAGCTCTGGTTCACAATGCTACATACAATGAATTTGTGTCTGGTTTTACTAGATCTGCTTGATGGCAAAAGGGGAGGGTGGTGGGTGGGAATGGAAACTTCAGGGCAAGTGCTCTGATAAAATGAAGGCAGGGAAACAAGCTGAATTACTTGAAATTACTTGAATTTTCTTGTCTTAAAACTGAAAAAAAAAAGTATAGTAACAAGTTGAAATCTGCAAGTGGTTCTCACACCTCTGATTTTAACATGAACTGATACTAATGTTTGAAATCGTACGTCGGAAATAAAAGCACCTATGTACTTGGAATAGGTTTTGAATGAGAGCAGTAGAAATTAGAAAGAGCTAAGAAGGGGTATGATCTGTGAAAGACTAGAACATGATGACAATGACTGAACACACCAGGGTTGCCAAGAAATTGATAAGCAGGTGGCTTTATGCCTACGCAAGTGGCATTTGAGAAAGTAAAATGTAAGAAAGGATTAACTCATGCGAAATGAAGGAGAAAGTTTGGTCTAAGAAGACACTGTCTTTCAATAGGAATTCATGATAACATTTACAGATTAAGAATTCAAGAATCTGTTGTTGGTGTTTTGGTTCTTGGGGAGAAAAGTCTGGCTTCTTCAATATTTGTTTTTACTACCAAATTGTATTAGTTAATTTTTTGTCATTCTTGTATGTAAAATGGGTGTTGGGGGTGGAGGGGTAGAGGAGGAGATTGAGAACTAGGAGAAAGAATGAGAGTGAGTGAGTGCAAGTGTGTGCTGGGGATAGATTAACTACCTGGTAAAGGGTTTCAACATATACAAACTGTTATAATTTTACTAAAGGAAAAATGTTGGGGTTTGAAAAAAATGGACCATCATTTCTCATTGGAACACATAACTCATTAAAAAAAAAAAAACAAAAAAAAAGAAAAAGAAAAAAAAAAGAAAAACAAAGAAAAAATACACACAAAACCAGCATGGTTTGACATCAAGTGGGGTCATGAACAAATCTGTCTCATGCTTTGAAAAGTACACAGCAAAATTTTAAAAATGGAAGTTTTTAGACAAATGTGATAAGGAACCATCATTTCCAGTCACAATAGGTGATCATTTGTAATTTTCATAAAAGCAGTTCGTTTGCAGTATGGCTTTTGTGTAGCTAGGGGTTTTTTAGTATGAAGAAAGGTATGTGGGCTTTAAAAGTGATTCTAAATCTTGACTAGAAAATCATGTAAATTGGCTTTAATAAAAATGTCACCTTTAAATATTGACATTAAGTTAATTAATTGTACCATATATTTTTAAAGTTCATGTTTGACTTGAATTGTGAGGCAATAAGATACCATTGATGTGATGATCACAGAATCAACCCTTATAGTTTCACTTATTTTGTTTACTCTAAAAATCTATAGCAGAGTTCCTCTATTTTGTATTTCATAGATTTAAAAAAATCCCAAATAAAGATGGATTTTAGATTCACTGTGGATAAGAATATTGAATAAGAAAGTTTAAAAAACAAGCAAATCCTTAATAATCTGGAATAGTCTACACAGCTTTAGAATATACTAAACAAGACAAAGATGCAGGGCTGTCTTAACATCACTGTCAGCTCGAAGCAGAGTACACACATTAGGTATTGTTTAAAAAAAATAAAATAAAATAAAAACTGATCCAAACTTTTCTTCTGTTGTTTGCACTGATGCTATCTTTTTTCCTTCTGTGTTTAATACAACATGTTTATATTGTGTGGGGAAATTTCTATTTTACTTTCTTGCTTTTCTGGTGATTCTGGTTTGGTTTTTCTTGTTTTGTTTTTGGCTAAGTAGAGAACATGGACTAGTTGTAGCAAACAAAACACACTGTTTGCTCTTGCCTGTGAGTACATTCTCTGAAGTGGTGGGAACTTAGAGGATGGGAAGGTAACAAAGCCTGATCTATAAAGGTTGTGGTATAACTATTTTGGTACTAGAACCAGTTCATGCTGGCCGAAAAGACAATAGTTTTTGGACTTGCATCCATTTTGTATTTTTGTAACATTTGTAAATAAAACTTTTTAAATTGTTGCAAAGATGGTTTCTTTTGTAAGATGTTTTCAACGTTTACATTCAGTCAAAGCCTTTGTATATTTTAGAGCTGTACAACACTTTAAGTCTTGTATTTATTTTTAGTAAAAACGGTGACAGTTTCATTGTGAACCCCTCTAAAAAAATGTATCAGAAAAGTTTGATTACCTAGAAAGTGTGTATAGAGACTGCAAATAAACGTGACTGCAATTAAACAGCTGGTTTTTCCTATTTATTGTTATATAACTGTAGTTTGGCGGTTACACCAGCAGGAAATAAGGGGCGGGCCGTTTTTAGAAGGAAAGCATGGTATGGAGGCTAATCTCATTTCATTTTTGAGAGAGAATAAAATATTTCCAATGTCTGTCTCAGGAAAGACTGATATTCCAATCAAGGACTATGCATGGAGATAACCTAAGACCCCTGCACAGATGTAGCCTATGGCAGTTCAGTATCCAAGTGGGTTCCATTGTAATGGGAACAGGGACTGTGTCTGACGTGAACTGATTGGCTTGCTCTTTAATTACCTCCCCCTGAGGGGGAAGCAGCCTTACCAGGCCACAGAAGAAGACAATGCAGCCATTCCTGATGTGATCTGATAGACTAGGATAAGAAGGAAGGAAAAGAAGACCTCCCTTATCAGTGGACTTGGGGAGGGGCATGCATGCAGAGGGTGGAGGAAGGGTGGGATTGGTATGGGAGGAGGGAGAGAACCACAGGGAGGACACAAAGTGAATAAAGTGTAAATAATAAAGAAAAAAATATTTTCTTTTTTTTTAATTTTTATTTTTTATTTTTTTTAATCTTTTATTTTTTTTATTAATTACACTTTATTCATTTTGTATACCCCCATGAGCCCCTCCCTCCTCCCCTGCCGATCCCACCCTCCCTCCCCTTTCTACATGCATGCCATTCCCCAAGTCCACTGATAGGGGAGGTCCTCCTCTCCTTCTTTCTGATCTTAGTCTATCAGTTCTCATCAAAAGTGGCTGCATTGTCCTCTACCGTGGCCTGGTAAGGCTGCTCCCCGCTCAGGGGGAAGTGATCAATGAGCAGGCCAATCAAATTATGTCAGAGGCAGTCCCTCTTCCCATTACTATGGAACCCACTTGGACACTGAACTGCCATGGGCTACACCTGTGCAGGGGTTCCAGGTCATCTCCACAAATAGTCCTTGGTTGGAGTATGAGTCTCTGGGAAGTTCCCTGTGTTCAAATTATCTTGTTCTGTTGCTCTGCTTGTGGAGTTCCCATCCCCTCCAGCTCTTACTATTTCCCACTTCTTACATAAAATTCCATTCACTCTGCCCATCAGTTGGCCATCAGGCTCAGCATCTGCTTTGACAGTCTATACTGCAGAAGCTTTCAGAGGCCCTCTGTGGCAGGTTTCAAGGTTGTTTCCTGTTTTCTTCTGGCTTTCAGAGGCCCTCTGTAGCGGGTTCCGAGGTTGTTTCCTATTTTCTTTTTCTTCTGATGTCCACCCTCTTTGCCTTTCAGGATGGGGATTGAACATTTTAGTTAGGGTCCTCTCTTTTGCTTAGTTTGTTTAGATGTACAG